TGGGGGGGGGGGGGGGGGATCAAGTCTGTGGTGTCAGTGTTTGTGTCTCCAGCTGTTGCTGACCGTTGGAGTCAAATCTAGCAGGATTTATGGCCAGTTTAACCCAGTTGTTTAGGGGTCGAATTTTAGCAGGATTTCACCAACATCAACAATTCTAATGTATTAACATTTTTTTATGTAGCAGGATTTTGCTAAGGGACAGTCAGATAGTAAGGTATTTAAGAAGCTGATTAAGAAAGAGTTGAAATGAGGAGTCTGAGACCCGAAACAGGAAAAACACATATATTAGTATTTGGCCTTATACTGACGTTATCTGTTTAAAATGTCAGTCACATCATACATCAATTGCATAACCAGCGGTGCAATTTTCAGACACTGCAAAATATACAAGATATAACTGAAAATTAATAAGATTGTCTGATTGAACCATGGAATTATGTATTTTCAAAAGAGGCAGTGACTATAATGAACTGTGTCATAGAGAGAATATGTAATGCCCTGGCACCAATGTACCCGAACATGCATGCGTTATGTTATGTTCATCGCGTATCACTGCCAGTGATTATCAAATTATTTGTATTGTATGAAAGATATTGAGAAATAGTTAATCATTCAATTCTGTCTTGTTATGGTTGACCTACTTTTTGTCTTTGTGTCCTTTAAGCTTCAATTTTCCAGCTTTTACGAATGCATACGAGTCAGCCATCCTCGTTTATTTTGTAACGGAAGTAAACATTACATTGATAATCTCTAAACCAAGTACGGAAAATCCGGATAGTTTTTATATAAAAAAAATCACTGCAAGGGGAATAGTTTTGTAAGAAAACTGGAAAGAGAATGGAAAAAGTGGAACAACATCCTGGAATTATAAGCTAAAAATTAAATCATTTAATATCATCAAGTCAGTAGATACAATACAACTCCTCCCACAGTTCTCATTTTATATTTTGAAAAAGCACACACTAAGTTTTCACAAGGGCTTTTCTCTTGTTCTATATGCTTTTTTGACAGTTTTTCTTTTTCTTTCCGTTATGGAGTTGACTCATCAGATGAGTGTCACTACTCCAGGCTCTCCGACGCTTATTGGCCATACAGCAAAAAAAAAATGCTATTTACATCTGTCTGTAAGTATATCTAAAATCTGGTATTTACAGTTAAAACCGGAGTCCTGTCTAGTGCCTGGGGACGAGTCCGGCCACATCAATTATCTGTATGTGGTGACGAAAATTGTCTACTGTTGGTAATCCTCTGATGTTTGTATGCGTCGACTCTGGTGCTTATTTGCCTGATGTTGTTGGCTTGGGAAATCCTAGTCCAACTGCTGGTCTGTTGTAGGAGATGATGGACGGGGACTTCTACTAGGTTGTTGATGATTTTTTAGAACATGATGACCCTATTTCTCACTCTTCTAGTGGTTTCCAGATTAGTTGCTGAAGCATGGTAGTAACGCAACCAGGGTTTCGGGAGTAGTAATTCCATGTAGCAAATCGTGCTGCTGTCTTTGTACGTTTTCGATTTGTTGCATTTGATGGTAATGGTATGGTGCCCAGACTACAGATGCGTATTCCAAAACTGGCCTGACTAAGGTGGTATATACCTGGTATTTTACTGCTTGTGGACAGTTCCTGAGGTTACGTCTCAAGAATCCCACTGTTCTTGAGGCCTTGGCTGTTGTCTGATCAATGTGATCCTGCCACGATAGGTCTTGGCTTATGTACACTCCAAGGTACTTTCCACATGGAACTGTCACAAGGATGTGATCATGAAATTGGTACTTGGTGTTAACTATTTTCTACTTCCCTCGTAATGTGGATGGCGGTACATTTTTCTGGATGGAATGCCATTTGCCAGTCTTTTTCCCACTTTTCCAAAGCATTCAAGTCTTCTTGTAGGAACTTACTATCGTTAGATGTTTCTATGTTTCTGTATATCAAGCAGTCATCCGCAAACAGTTTGACAGAGGAGCTCACAAGTTCAGGCAGGTCGTTGATGAAAGTCAGGAAAAGTTGGGGTCCTATGACCTTTCCCTGTGGAACTCCTGATTCCACGTCTCCCTCGGTTGACTTAGCTCCTTCTACCAATACGTGCTGCTTTCTACTGCTAACGAAGTTTCCAATCCAGCTTAGGGTTGAACCTCGGATTTCATAGTAGTGGAGTTTGTGAAGTAGACGTTGATGAGGTACCTTGTCAAAGGCTTTGGCAAAGTCAAGTAGTATGACATCCATCTGTTGTCCATTGGAAAGTCCTTTTGCAAGGTCTTGGATAGTTGCGATAAGCTGTGTTTCACAGGAACGTTTACTCCGAAATCCGTGCTGGGCGTCTGTAAGTATGTTGTGGATCTCAAAGTGGTCCAAGATGGTAGGGTGGAGAATGTGCTCACTGACCTTACTGCAGATGGAAGTCAACGAGACTGGCATGTAATTAGCAGCTTTACTCTTGTCTCCTTTCTTGAAGACTGGCACTATACATGTGACATTTTCCGGTCATCTGGAACAGTTCCGAGATTAATCGAGGTCTGGTACATGTAAATGAGACGAAGGGCTGGTGCCAGTTTGTTGGACAGTTTTTTTTTTAAATCTTGCTGGTACTGAGTCTGGTCCTGTAGCTTTGTGCGGCTTCAAGTTTTTTAAGGAGTTTGAATACACCTGCAGTTGAGGTAGTTATAGGATCCATAGATGGAAATCGGCTTGGTCCTTGTCCGGTATGCTTCTTATGTCCTCTTTGATGAACACCGATTTAAATTGGTCGTTCAGGATGTTAGCTTTGGTGGTTGGATCGCTATGTACGAGGCCTTCAGTATTGCGTAATGGGCCTACTCCTGATGATTCCTGTTTCCTGCCTTTGATAAAGGACCAGAACTTCGGCTTATTTCTTGCTTCTGGGATGATGACGTCACGAACATATATGTCATGCGCTTGTCGGATGCTCGTCTGGCATTTGGATTTCAGAAGATGGTAGAGTTTGACATCCTTCTTTTTTCCACTTCCTTTGGCTTTGTGGTATGCCCTTTGTTTCTGGCGTGTTAATCGCCTAGTTGTGGTGTTCATCCAAGGGTTGGTGTACTTGGAGTGTGTTTGTTTGCTTGGGATATGCTTGTCCATGATCGTCAGGATCGAATCCCTGAAAGTGGTACACATGGTATTAACACATTGATGGGTCCCTGATGTAAATTTGTTAACAAATGCTGTTGTATCAGCCCTCAAATTGTTCATATCAGCTTTATTTCATAGGAAGATCTTTCTTGGAGATGGCTTGACTCTTCTTGGCCGAATAGATAAGTCAATCAATACTGTGTCATAGTCTCCCACTCCTGGTATTGGCTTAATCTTGTCTACTAATGATGGACTGCTGGTCAAGAAAAGGTCAAGAATCTTGTCCTTTCTAGTAGGGAAGTTGACTATTTTTTCTATACCGCAATGGTGGGTTAGATTTATGAAGCTGTTGGATAGTGCTTGTGATTACTGGTTAGAGATGGCCAGTCAATATCTGGTAAGTTGAAATCTCCACCAATCCAAAAGTCACTCTTTGGATGGGACTGCCTTAATGAAGATATTTCATCAATTACCTGTTGTGCGTATTCATCTGAAGTTTAACTTGGTGGTCTATAGAAGGCAACAACTATGATGGACTTGTTCCTGTTGATGTGAAGTGTGATGGCAATCATTTCATTGCCTTGACAGGTGAAAACTGGAGTGCATATGATGTCGTTCATTACGGCAATAAGAATACCTCCATATCCATCTGCTCGGTCTCTCCCAAATACATTATAGTTCGGTGGTAGAACTTTTATGGTAGAACTTTCATGGTCGCAATTTATGGTAGTTCTTCTCTTGGTTCGATGCTTGAATAGTTTTTGGAGAAGACGTGGCTGTTGGGCTACCAGGTATATAACATATGTAGATACTGGGCTTTTCAGTGATGATAAATCTGCTGAAAGTGAGTGTAAACTTTCAAAACTGTTGCTGTGTACTTAGATGGAGTCATATAAAGTTGTATGGTTTGGTGCATTCCATGAACCACATATCCATGTAGCTGAAGAGTTGGCAAGGAGGTCATAGTCTGCTGTTGTCAAAGACATACAGGATACATGGCACCACTTGTCACAGTTGTCGCAAGCGAGTGCACGTTGACCATATTTCACTGCTTTTGAGCATAACATACATGGGTATTTAGGTGTATATGGGCCTGGGTTATATTTTACTTGACCGCTGAGAAGGAGGAGTAGTTGGGTGACCTGTGTAGTCTGGACTCGAGTCGCAACCTTCTTTTGTGTGACGTGATAGTACATGGTATGAAAGTCACTAATATGGATGTGAACTAGTTTTGGTATGCATCTTGAGTCATGGTCTAGTTCATTGAGTCTTACTATGATGCATATGATGACATGTAAGTATAGCACATAGCTCATGATGTTGTGTTGACAACGTAAACAAAAACAAAAATGGCCGCCTATGGAAAGGGTCAGCTAGTATTTTGATGGTATTTGTGCTTGGATCCTCAAAATGGGACTGGATATAATCTCTGATGACATATGGGGGTGTTACCAACAATATGAGATGTAGATGTAGTAAATATACATTGTAGAAGTCCGGAAAACTGTAAAAATTGTGAGAGAAAATGTTCAGCTGTATGTCCGGAGCGCCACCTGTCTGTTATGCCCCTTTTACCATACCTGTATTGAATCTTGCCTGAATTCCAACTTTTTTGTCCCTTTTTGTGAATTTAAGTTGAAGTTTCAGTCTGAACTTATTATAGTTTATCTCTATTATGATATAAATATATTTTGTCCTGAGTATTACCCTCATTTCTTGGCCACTTTTTTTTAGGAAACTTGGTATAATTAACCCAAGGGTAAATTTATATGGCTGTATTTACTTGCAGTTTAAAGCCGAAAGCACCTTACTTACAACTAATACAGAAGATTGTCTTATAATCTTTCTTGAGCTGCAGTGCAAAAACAGATTCTCCTTTTCTTTCTTTTTCTGTTGACTTTCTCCTTTTTCTTTGCTATTTTTTTCTTCTTCTTTTCTATTCTCTCTCTCTCTCTGTTCTCATAAAGGCAATGTATGTGTACATGTGTACCATCACATGTACTTGGTGTCAAATATATCAACTGATGTAAGTAAGAGTATATATGAGTCGTGTGAGGTATGAATATATAATATGAATTGTTTGATTGTAACTATACCATACATTGCAAAAAAATCTGAAATAAAAAGAAAATTACAAAATAAAAAAACAACTACAGTGATTACACTCCTGGAGCGGTTACCAGCATGACACAACAACTCGGCTGGGAGAGCTTGGCAACCAGACGGGCGAAGAGCCGACTGTCCATGACGTTTAAGATCACCCATGGACTAGTCGACGTCCCATATGTCCTCCAAAATAGAAATGCTGATGTACATACTCATGCTACTGGAGATGTTGATACTTTTCGTCCAATCTTTTGTCGCACTATTCAGTTTAAACATTTGTTTATTCCGTCCCTCCTAAAATGTTGGAATTATCTTCCTCCGGACCTCAAAGCAGAATCATCGTTGCACAAACTTACAAATTACTTATATGGGCAACCTAAACATGTTCCATCATATTTCCTTTGTGGAACTAGACACGGACAGATCCATCACGCTAGGCTCGGAATAGAATATAACTCTTTACATAGTTACCTATATTCAAAAGGTTTGATCGAAAGTCCTATTTTCACATGTGGTTTATCTAATGAAACAAACTTTCACTATTAATTGCGATGCCCCCTCTATGATAACACATCCATGTAACCAACTTCACTCCTATATTATACTATAACTTAACTGAAAAGTTACTACTATTTGGAAACGAAAATCTCTCTTGCAGAAAATCAATTACTTTGTATTTGCGTTCAAAAATTTATCATAGCTACAAAGCGTTTTTGATCATGATCATTATTACACATATATTTTAACATATATGTTTTACTTGCTTATATAACGTACCACGAATCATTGAAGCTGTTTCGTAAGATGATCTTGAATTTGAATATTTTTTTACTTGTTTTTTAAGTAAATATCTCTGGCAAGCACCCAGCACCTCCCTCTCTCACTGTCATCAATTATTACTACAAAATTAGATCTAAATCGTAATTACAACATGCTGCCCGTCTTTACACTGTAATTTCTATATGAAGGAAGTGGAGTAACATAAGTTTTAAGCTTGTTTCCATATCCTGTTTCTGTATTTCCTTATGTAAATTTGTTTATATTGTGTGTATACTGAAAGAAATAACATAAAGTTTACATTAATGTATGAACGGGTGAACATGTTTTTGTACATTTCGCTTCGTTACGGCCGCTCATGTGGTTAACGTAACTTAATGTATTATGTAATCACAGATAAAACACAATCTGATTAAAATAATCCGTTACATGGCTCCGCCTGAACGATGTGCAGGCGTAGTACGATGTTAACGAAGCCATGTAACATTTGATGTTAATCAGATTGAGATGAAACAGAGACCAAAAACAGTTAATCATATATTTTATTCGTTATTAATATATATTTTGACATCTTTTACAAATTTTAACCCTTTGTTTCTGGTTTTCATGTATTCATTTTTTTGTGAATGTCTATTTTTTACAATGTTGTTTGGCCCTTAATGACTCAAATTGTCGATGGGCCGTTAAACAATACAACTACAACTACAATAACAATTGTTCTGATTCTTTTATAACAATATGTCTTGTAAATCACATACTTATATTTTGAAAGGAATTGATTTTAGACAATTAAAAAGCGACATATGCATATGGTGAAACTATGATGCGGGGTAAAACTGAATTGTTTAAATAATAAATGTGTCATCAACTATTTGCATTCCCAGTCTGTGAACTCTAATGCGCTGCGAACTAAAGCGAAAATATATTTCTCTGAAAAGATAAGTAATTTACAACATATGAATATCACATCAAAAAAAGCATTGTCGTTGTCTGACAATTATATTCACAAGATGGAAATCCGGTATTCTTAAGAAATCTTGGTCACAGCACCAAAAATCATCAATATGAATCAGGGATTAGATATTTTAGATTCGTCAATTAAAACTTACAATCGTTATGTTATTTTCTATAATTACCAGGCCATGGTGCCAATAGCCCTATCGACATCAAGCGACCATCTTGGAGTATAGAGTCACTTTCCTTAAAATCATTTTTTGGACCTTTTTTTTGCTAAAAAACATAAAATAATTGTGAAATGCACTAATGTAACGGTTCCTGACTTGGAGCCTGTATATTTTATAGTTAAAGTGTCAGGGTGTTTATGTGTTCAANTGGGGGGGGGGGGGTAAAAAGGGGGGCGTACGCCCATTACGCCCTCACCAGGACCCGCCCTTGACGATGACGACGACTACAATGATGATGGCGGTGGTGGTGATTTAAATCCTGTTGATGATATTTATTGTTTATATGTTTTTCCGATAAGTTGTAAAACTTAATAATTTGAATCGAATTGGCTTGAACCAATAATACCGCCACTTCCCCTCAAAAAAGGAAGCTTGAGAGTTGCAATGATGAGCAGCCTTGATGATATTTTCTCAATTTGTCAATCACGATTTGTTTAAACTACGTACAAATTTAGTGTTATCCCAATTTAACCGTTATTGCTTAGCAAAAACAATGATACCATTTTAATTTTTAATATTTCAACATACATGTAGTAAAGTGTGCAATGAGTAAATATGTTCACGGGCTTGCCGCGTATATTTCTAAGCAAAAGCAGAAGTTCACTGGACCCCTGAAATATGTCATATCGAAACTGAAGGCTATGTACGCACCACCTTGTGGATGATACAAGTTGATATATTTGAACCACAGATGTACATCAAAAGAATCGCATGGCAGCATAACGGTAAAATTGACCTGCTCTGAAGGGACATCTGACAACCGAACGATTTGTCCTTTTCGTTGGGAACCAATCAAATACCTTACCGCGTGCCTTCGACATGACATATTCCACGGGTACAGAGAACCTAAGTGGGCGTAACCCCTGGAGTTTCAGGGATGCGAAAGGTTTTACAAAGTCTATTTCGATATCCATTTCAGTGTGGCAATATGAAACTGGATAATTACTTCGGGGTCCACTGTCCAGTCATTATCCGGGATATTTAATTGTCAACACAACAAAACTTTCAAGAAATGTATGACTAGAATCGTTAGGGAAAAAGTGTTATTTGATCTACGATGTTTTCAAAACTGTTCTTAATCGGAAACGTCCGAATCACATTTCTCAATCTTTCTTCCCCGAATCAAGTTTTCTTCCAACCAGCCAATGAATAGATGTTATGACAGCTAGATTTCCTTATTAGTACTGACAACAGTTTCGCGATATAATTGACGCTTTGCAGCTATTCGAGGTCAAGAGAGGGTGTGCTTGTCCGCTGTCTCGAAGTCGTGATAAAGGCTTTAGATTGCGTGTACGCTAATATTCTGCTGTCTCGAAGTCGAGACAGGAGTCACACGTCCACTATCTCAAGGTCTGATATACACTGTGTTTTGTGTAGGAAACTGATATTTCGCTGTCTCAAAGTCACTGTATGGAATTCCACTTGGAGGACTTGTAGCCGGACTCGTGGTTCTGTGGGAGAAGACGCTGGAACTCGAGGGACCTGAAGTGCGCCAGTCTATGTCTAAAAATAAATAACGAAAACTAAGATTTATGAAAGTATCTTAATAAACTACATTAATAATTAAACGAATTTAACTCTGGAACCATTTTGCAGATAAAACAATACCATGACAAAATACTCGAAGGGAGACAACCACTATGATCATGACTCACTACATCCTACTTACATATCTGCATCCTGGTACTGCCCCCGGGGGACAGGGTATAGGGATTCGTACACTCTGCTGGAAGCTGATCCGTATATGGCATGTGCGTTGAACTTTGTGACCTTTTCCGGGAAATACTCTCCAGGAATTACAGCATCTCCTCTCCAAATGTTTCCTCCGGTAATCGTCGCCGTGTAGGAAAGTGCTAGTTGTTCCTGTATCATGGAAATATACAAAATAACACACACGGAAAGATACGGAATAACACACACGGAAAGATACGGAATAACACACACGGAAAAATACAGAAAAAAACACCACGAACATGTAGATGTTGAATTCGGCGGACTTCATGATTTTCCCCGCTTTCTAACCTTTTTGTCACTTAGTTTTTTAACATGACACCATTTCTCTTTTTTTTTCTAATGTATGTGCTTATGGGCTGCTAACTTTTTAAATGGTGTTCTTTACATTCACTGTAATTAAAGCTTCTATAATCTTATGGATGGTCGGTTGGCGCAGTGGATAGCACACTCGTCTTTCACTATAATGACGACCAGGGTTCGATTCCCCTTTCGGGTCAGCTGCCTGACCACGTGGCTTTTGTGCGGGTACTACGGTCTCCTTTCAAATGGAGACTCACCGGGTGCTTCCATCCGGGCCAACAAGGATATTTAATGTAAGTTGGAAAATCTTGTTTCCCAAGTGTTGTTAAATAGATGAAGTATATAATGTAATCGTTGGATCTCACCTTCGCTATTTAATGATAAAGAATCTACGGCGACATTGACCAATGTTTTAAACGTGACGGTATTCCAGGCTCAGCTAGTTACAAAACCACGTAAGGTGTTCCTGTATTGGCCTTTAACTCATATTACTCTGTCATTGTAATAAAAAGTCAAGGCTAACAAGAGTTCAAATAAGTGTGTTTCGTATAAATATAAAAATAATAGGTCACGTTCCGAATTTTGAAAAAAAAAAAAAAAGGTACCTCAAAACGCTTTATTTACATTCAATTTAACATCGTATCTCAATGCCACGATTGTAACGCTATCACATTCAGATGGCGTGTATATAAGCTATAAATGCCATGACCCGATTGTTGACGTCATCATTTTATGACGTCATAATTGAAACGTTGGATATCAATGACCCGTCCTGCACCAGCATATACGATACAAACACCAATTTGACATAATTAATGCTGACTTTGGAAAAGTTATGATTAGAATATACACGAGTAGCTATATTTCTATAACTACTTAGATGTATTGCTTATTGTAATTATTCAGATATAGAGACGTGTGCGTACACTCATTGGTGGAGGAATGGTGCTATACTTACCTTCACTGCGTTCTTCTCGCCTCTCAGCATCCGTACCAAATGTTGTCCGTGTCTACAGAGTATACAGAAAAAGAATGTACGCACGTGCTTAATTAAATGGATGTGTTTATCCCGTACAGATACAGGGGAACGAACGGGCCTGTTGTTTCCAGCAGGCGACTAATGTGAAACCCAAATGAACAGGGTGGGGTTTGGTGTTACTTAATCCGTAATATAACAAAAAATAGGAGACATTGATGAAATGCTTGCATCTGGATAACTGTATAATTATCCCATTCGATAGAACTTATGTCTCCGACAAAATCATCTCACTTACAGGCCCAGTCAATCATCCCACTATTAAACACTGACAATACTTGATACATTTTCCTTTCATACATTTTTGTCTTTGTTTGTTTCTTCCTTTTTTCTGTTGGTTACTTCATGTTACTCTTTGTTTGAACTTCCCTTTCCCTGTGTTTATTACTTAATACTTCTTTTCTGTTTGCAATATACCGTATAATGTGACCGGGCGGAATGCTGTGCTGGGTGCCTTCGGCATGGTATTTCAGCGAGTAAGCACTATCAAGTCGGCATCAGATTCGCACTATCACAGGGAGGCAAGTACACCAACATATCCTGTCTCCGGCACACATACACAAATGCACACTTACACAACACACATGGAGGCATGTCCTTGAATGACTTTAGCTGTTAATACTAGTAGGACGCTAAACAAATTGAAACCAAATCGTTTGCGCAATTCCTACCGTTTGGCATTATTGTATTGGTAGACTATCATTATAAGACTAGACACATTATACACAGTCATTAGAGAGAAAAAAATCACTGCTGAAAGCGACCGTTGCATAACATTTACTACACTTCAGGACAAACGTTAAAAATGTGACCAAGTTCTTATGCCCAATTGTTTCATGGGAGTAACACGAGTGTCTGACTTACGGGCCGAGTCCAACCTCTAGGTAGTCTCCCTTGTCGTTCAGGAACAGCACTTCTACAACTGTAATGTACAAGGATAATGGATTCCATAACATCCTATAATAACATTATTGTTTGCAACTTTAAAATCGTTTTTTATGTCTCGATGAACCAAAACTATTGAGATGAACAACAGTTTCATAATACTTAGTACAATTCATTTGTCCGTGTCATTATCTCTATAATTCTAACCTAACTAAAAAATTGTTTGTCTGTTCAAAAAGATACCACTTAATCATAGCCACTTTTACAATTTTTAAAGTTGACGTTTGTCTTTTACCTTTTCGTTCGTTTGATGTTTTTGCCTTTACTTTGTGTTGGCTCTATGACCTCTTATGTGTTGATGGGCCGTTAAGAATGATAATTGTCTGTGTCATATAACACGGTAAATTAATAAGATAAAATTGCTTCCGGTTTACAAATTATGTCAGGTTATGACGTCATAATTAAATAACTGCAAATTTAATCCGTACTTTTTACCTTCGAACGTTTGTTTGATTTAATATCCAAATGCCAATAAAACGTACATGTACTTCTAACGCTGTACTTACAACCTTAATCTTCAAATGGAAAAATTTAGAAATATAGATTAGTAAATTTTGGTTATTAGCATATATTTACCATCGTATCGTCTTTCTATAACCCATTGCATTTATATACATATGAATGCCATGACCCGATTTTTGACGTCATCATTATTATGACGTCATATTTGAAACGTTGGATAGCAATGACCTCTCTGGACAGGAGGCTGTTTCAAACAACAATTTGGGCTTGATTTTGCTGAATTTGAAAGAGTGAATTAATTTTTCTACGCGATTGATATATTGCTCAAGTGTTAAACATAACTTTTGAGCCGCTTAATGCGCTTCAATCAAATGTCAGCTGAAAGTTGTTTGATGCTTAAATGAAGGATATTGAACTAGAAATGATGTCAGCCCTCCGTTCTTTCAGTGACGCATCCTCGAAATTCAAGAGGTTACTATCACTTACGTTCTATACAAAGAACAAAAGTGAGCGTAAGCCCTGGAAACCCGAACATGTTTGGGACGTTATGTATAACAAATGAAATAAAATCGTCCACTCCCTACATAATGAATCGTAAATACCTTCATAGTTATAAAGCTGAGTAAATGGTTGTCCGGCCGCACCCCCGGGATTTGGAGGGCTGTTAAAAAACGGCGCATCAATGTGTATTTTGACGTCATTTCCGGACGAATGACGAGTCAGTGTTACCACGACAGGGGTGTGGTTCAGTGCACGAGCATCCCAGGTGGTTGCTATAGAAAACTCCATATTTGGTTCATAAACTAAGAACATAAAAAGAGAACAAGATATATGTAACGAATATAGCATGAACAGTAATGCTTGTGGTATTGATATTTTCACGGTTTTCAAATAATTAAGAAGTCACAAACACAATACGACAACGAATTTTTTTAATCTAACAACACTATCTTCTCAAAAATCACTTCGCTGTTATCAAGTTGTCACCGAACATTTTTTTAAATTTTAAAATGTTTTCATTGATTCTGGTATTTTTAAGCCCTACTAAAAACACTTTCTTGTTGTTATGCATTCATAGAAATATAATGAAATAATCTCAAAGCGTTTTGATACATTTCGAAATTCTATACATAAACTAACCAGTGCGACATATCGGGTTTTCGTTTTATAAAATAGGTCTTTCTAAGATTTTACCTGGTGTACAGAACCTATCTACATCAACAACTTTTTTTTTTTACTTGACAGCATGAAAGGTGTACGTTATACTTTTCTCGTTTATGGAAAGTGCCGACGATTCCTGATTGGTACACGATCTACTTACACGTAGGGCCTTTCTTCTTCTCATTATCCCTTCCACCTAAAAAACAAACACAAAAACGACCATGTCACTATAATGCATCTTACGAGAAATAAAATACAATTAATGAATAAAACTGACAATTTCAAATTGCATGATTCCATCTTTTGTTATACGGCATGTATAATAACCTGTTTATATTGAATGACAAAACCATCAAACGTTTAACTTTAGTCAAGGTTCCACCTCTTTGAATTTTAAATCCCATAGCCATATTGTTAAATAACAAATTCAACATACAATAAAAGTAAATCATTTTGAGTTCGTGCCATTGTATAGGCCTAGATATATCCATTTTCTGATTTAATCTCTACTGTACCTCGATATGGCATATTTTTCGTATGGCATTTGCAAAGACATTCAAAAAGATGAGAAGAAAACTTTTTCCCGTTTATCTTTCGCTCATTAAGTATTCCTTAATTAATCACAGTGTTTGCATAGTGCATCAACTTTCCCTGTCTTTTTCACTTTACTCACTTAAGAAGACAACGAAAGTGACGACCACGGCTACAGAGAAGAAGATGAGAAGCACTCCTAGCAGATAAAACATTACAGCAGCCCTCCTCTGTCTCCCCTTCCATGTCCCGTCCCTCGGGGCCTTGTGACGCTTGTGATCCACGTAGGCGAGGTCGAATTTGATCCACTCCTGGCTGGGGATAACTGGATAAAGACAGGGGGTGTCCGAGTAAAGTACAGTAGGGGCGTGGTGATATCTTACAGGAGGGTGCAAGTTGTCCCTCCTGATGTTGGTAGTAGCCATTATTCCTTGTTGATGGTTGTCTGTGGGTGGGGCCAGTACGTCCCCCTGACCCCCGGGGTCGCTATAGGGGTCACACACCCATACGTCACCAGCCTCCCTCCATGTAGTTCTCATAGTGCACAGAGTGTCTGGGGAAAGCCTAGATGTCCGTTTTCGTTTCCATCTGCAGCTTCCTACACACGTGTGTTGTTTAACTGTGTATAATATGTGTGTGCGCTCCTTTTCTCGTCGAGTTGCAGTGTTTAAAATATGTAAATTAGATTCATCACTATACTTGTTAAGTCAGACGAGCAAAAGATCTTACACGCTGACCGGAGGGGAACACACCGAATCACCAATCTTTCTGACATCTGGGCACATGATACACACTGACAAGTAAAACGGACTTTTTGCTCACACACAGGGGTCTGTTACTATAAAATTCACAAAAGATTAGGCATCGTAATTCTTGTAAAAAAATCCCAATACCAGCGACGCATATCATATTAATTCTTGTATATACTCAGGAGTTCGTATAATGTGTCAAATAAACATAAAAAAACCTGAAGTTATCACGATTGTCAGCCTTGTTACAAATATTAACTGGTCCCTGTGTTTTCTTCACCTGCCTAAAGGTATGTTCCCCCAAAAGTTATCAAAGACTGTGTTGTATATATACTTTGTGATGAGTTAATGGCTGCGAGTTTACGACTAAATCTAGCGTAGGTAAAGTGATGTGTTTAGGATTCCGTGCCCCAGGGGTTACTGAAACAGTCACTGAACTAGGTATGTCACAAGCCCTCTGATTTACGAACAATAAAAGTCCATAATTATTCGCTGCGAGATCAAAACACGCGAGCACTTCTTCAGAATTAACACACATTGTTTGGACACGCGCAATTGTCTAAAATCTACAACTGTAAAAGTTTGATCTTAAAACAAACGTGTTTGCATTAATAATTTTATATTTACATATTTCCTTCTTATTAAATGCTCATGGCGATTGTCATATAGGGCCTTTGTGGTTTTGTAAAAATACACGTGTACTTTTTTTCAGTTTTCTTGAACGTGCCGGTGGCATCAGTCAATTCATGGGGTTTTGTTCATTTTTTGTAAGATTTATTTTGACATTTCTAGATGCTCCAAGACAGATATGCATTTGTTAGGTCACGCATGTTAGTCAACTACCTTTGTAATAAACCATACATACATGTGTAATTATCTATAGGTCCTGTATATGCAACCTTTACAAAGGTAACTTGAGTATGTGCAGTAACATTCAACACAATTACAAACAGTTGTAACATAACAAATTAATTACACAATGCAATATATTCATTCTATTCATACTGAAATCAATATCAAATATCGTATGTATACCTACACTTACTCTCCCTAAATAGCAACCGTGTATTACTCTTGCTTCGGAAGTAAGCATTATATCGACCCTAAGCAACTCTAAATTTTGAAGCAAGAAATACAAAATAACGAACTGCTCATTATAAAATTCGTTTGACGATGCAAAAAGCTAAACAAAGTTAACATTTTACTGCACCAGATTTCCCATCTATCCATGTATTTACTTCAAAAACAAGTCTAAGCTTAACGGGCCAAGCTTACTTCTGGTTTCCTATCAAATACATGGTTCTTTGTAGCCGCAACATCGATACTACATGGGTTTCACTCACTTAATTTCGCTCTCCGAACCCCTGGAATACGTCATGGCAAAATTGAAGGCAAACGGCTAGCTATTTGATTCGTCTTGGGTATAAAAAGAAAGCTGACCAATCGCTAGGCTGATACCTGTTCTTTGAAGATTACAGCGGAGCGACACCGACTTCAAATTCAGTCATCTTTACCGTTACGTGACCGCGAGATTGGCGCACACTGAGCACGACATATTTAAGGGTGCAGAAAGCGTAAGTGGGCGTAACCCCTGGAGTATCGAGAATGTCCACAGAAGCAGTTAGAGATGTATACTAGTACATGCAATTAAAAAGAGATATCGTCCACATTTTAGTGAATGCTTCAGTCCTGTTTGAAGTCTGACCAGTCTGCCTTTGAAGTATTTCGTTGTTGGAGCGTCTGTTATAATTTTGGGCAAATGATTCCACTAGAGGAGAGGGAGGAGATCAACCTCTTCGTTCCTTACACTCACAAAGAACGAAAACTCTAGGTAGAGATAGGGAGGATACTATACCGATATATGTACTAGGCAATGGTAGATAATGCTGAACCTCGTAGAACATGGCTTACATGGTATATAGAGTCCGATGTGTCCCGATGGAAATCCTTAAGCGTCTGGGTGATTGCTCCCTCTTCGTGGTCCTGACGGTTGCTAGAAGTTAAACGAGAGGCGCTCCGTTGATGTAAATTCAATTCGCCAATGCCATATTTGACTCTGTGTGAAGGGTCCTAGACCACAGAAGTATACTCAATGGAAGGTCTTACAATAGTCTCATATGCTGCCTCCTCTGGTGTTCAGTCACATTCATTTTGATGAATCCCGAATATCTATTTGCCTCGGTGGTGATGTTAGCGATGTAGGTATATATGTGTTCCATTATGAATCCTGGGTAATTTCTGGTTCCAATTTCAAGTGTCTTGTCATGGAGTTAATGTTCAGTAAAGTTTTTTTTACCAGTGTTGATGTGAATTGTTGTACATTTGTCGGGGGTTCAATTCCCTTATGCAAATTACTCTCCCTTTTCCTCAGAGCGTAGATGTCCTGATTCCTATAAAAAAAAAAAACACACAATATTTTTGGGGAAACAAGTGTACATCCGGTCTAGCAACCATTTTTAGTTGTGAAAGTCAGAAACAGGAAACAGTAGCCCAAAGACCGTCTCCTGAAGCATTCCGGATATCAGGTCAGCTGTGGTGAATGAGGTCACCTCTAATAACACATGATATGTTCTAGCAAAGACTAAATCCTGGAGCTCTGTGTTCCGTTGGTATTCATTGTGCTTCAACTTGTGTATAGACCACTTGTGCGGCACCTTACCAATAACCTTGAGAGGTCAAGAAAGATGACGTCCATGCGTTCTCCATTCCATAGGCTGTCCGCAATGCTCTGTAACGTCATGATCCCAAACGATCTTACGACTTGTTTTCCGGGTTGTTCTTCAGCTAGTACGTTCCTTCTCTCACAAGGACACATTGTCTTGGTGTGTATAATATGTTCTTCAGAAGAGACTGTATGAGGCGGAAGTGACGGATATGGTTGTTATTTGCTGTGTCTTGTCACCTCTCTTGGAGATGGGTGATATGGTAGCTTTCCGTCAGTCTTCTGTGATCCTGTCATCGTCTAATGAAACTTAAAAGATGGTGGTGATGCTTTGGGATAGTTTGGCTGCGTACTCATTCGCCGTTTCTGAGAGAACAAAGTCCGGGCCTGACACCTTTATGGAACTTCGGTCAATCCTATCAAAAGTTTATGAACGCCTCTTGGTGAAATGTTGTTTGTCTCCATATCGGGATTGGCGATTTGACAAGATCAGAAACTCTGCCTGTGTTTACTTTTGTGAAAAGTGACTAAAACTGTGTGTTAAGGATTGTTTCATTTGTGGGACTATCACCGTTAATAAATCCATCCCGATGTTTTAGAGGCGCTGCCCCTAATTGCCCCTGCTTCTTACTCTACGGTGAAGCGCACATCCTACAATAATGTGATCGCGTCATGACGACGTAGTTCTTTTGAATTCTCCTTGATTTCTACTGTAATAGTGCAATAAGGTGTCTCTTCAAATCTCAACATTTGTTTAAGGTGGCTCCACACTTTCGCAATTAACCAGCAGAATTCGTTGAAACTTTCATATAATGGTTATGCAACTATGTAGAGTTGATTTTTTGAAAATCTAAACATTCCGATAGTTTGGGGACTTTTTTGGAAAAAATACCAAAAAATTGAATTTTCGTCAATTTTAATGTTTTTCGGGGTTTTTTTGTGTGTGACATTGTTTGGAACAATAACAACAATAATAAAATGAAAAGAAGCATTTCTAATTAACTCTACAAATATTTTATTTATCGCAAAATATGTAATACATGTTACACAAAGTGTTTTTTATTGAATTTGTACGGATAAAAGTAATTATCTACAAGCTAAAAGCAAACAGGACACAAAGATCTATACATATAGAATGGGAAATTGAACAAAATATACACAATGGCTTTATAATTAATTTATTTTACATTCTACAATCACTTCGATCCGGGTGAGAGTTATCTTCCTTGAAAAAAAATCGGAACTTTTTGCAAAGGGGTGACATTTACACAATGGCAGTTTTCTGTGTTTACATATAACAAAAATGATGGAAATAAATAAAAAATATGATATCAAAATTATCAATTTATTGTTCTTTAATGGAACCAAATTACCCTCAGTCATGTACACTTTGGACACATTCCACAATCCGTNCGAGCTTATGAACTCGTGTTGCACATGTGAGGTTGGTACGTCCGCATTCCATGCGTTTCCTATATGACCTTCTTGAGGTCGTTTGGTCTCATGTCACTGTCTTCCCGTGAGTCTATTTATGTCTATGAATTGGAAAGCTTTATTCCTGAAGTACGTCTGATTATACATTTCCCGGTAAAATCTCGATATCGGGTGTTGACATGTCATCGGCACGCACGTGTACTATTGTTTATCAGGGGCCTGTTCGTTTAGGCTGAGCAACCGGTTTGACCGTTTATAAATGTAACAATTCCGGGTATAAATCCTGGCGGACCTGCAAATGTGTATGCAGGCCTTGCAAGGCTTTCTCAGGGCTCGCCTGAAAGCAGCATCAGATTACTAGGTCCGACCTTATTTAATAAACGAACAACAGTGGTCCGATCGGTTGACCGTTTAAACGTTTTTACGATATTGAATGCCCGATACGCAATACGGAAATGACGACACGGTGTACATGCACATTTCGATCAAGATAATTGAGTCCAAGCTGTACTTTTTCCGGAAGTACGTCACGAAAATGGACGCTGATGACGATGTGTGGAGCCACCTTAAGGCTTTTTGTGCTTTAATTCAGCCTTGCCAGACTCTTCATTTTGCAGTTACAGTCTGAGTCTTGTGCTCAAAAAACTCTATGCGAACAGTATATGTCTTTAGCCCGAGTTCCCTCTGGCCCTAACACCAGACTTAGACATTTTGACATATAGATATCTGGTATGTCAAAATGTCTAAGTCTGGTGTTAGGGCCAGAGGAAACTCGGGCTATAGATGTCTGAGAATGTCAAGCCGATGTCGGTTTTTTGGGTTGAAGGCCAATTGCTTGCTACTTTGTCCATACGAAAGGAATGTTAATTTAAATAAATTCAGTTTATCATTAAAACATTTGCTTAA